GGCTGGAGTGCAGTGATGCAATCTCAGCTCACTGCAACCTCGGCCTCCCAGGTTGAAGCGATTCTCCTGCCTCAGCCTCCTGAGTAGCTGAGACTATAGGCACACGCCACCACACCCAGCTAATTTTTGTATTTTTTAGTAGAGATGGGGTTTCACCATGTTGGCCAGTCTGGTCTTGAACTCCTAGCCTCAAGTAATCTTCTCACCTTGGCCTCCCAAAGTGCTAGGATGACAGATGTGAGCCACCTTGCCTGGCCCAATGTTTTTTAATGCCTTTATTTTAAAATTTTTTATTATTTATTTATATATTTATTTGAGACAGCATCTTGCTCTTTTGCCCAGGCTGGAGTGCAGTGGCGCAGTCATAGCTCACTGCAGCTTGGAACTCTTGAGGTGTGTGTGATGGCTCAAGCCATCCTCCCACCTCAACCTCTTGAGAAGCTGGGACTAACAGACACGCACCACCACACCTGGCTAATTTTAGTTTTTCATTTTTTGTACAGACATGATCTTGCTATGTTGCCCAGGCTGGTCTTGAACTCCTGGCCTCAAGTAATCCTCCTGCCTTGGCCTCCCAAAATGCTGGAATTACAGGCATAAGCCACCATGCCCAGGCTTAATGACTTTAATGTTCTGGAAAAATATTACTATAATTACGTAAAGATACAGATATAGGGGTGCATGTTTTCCCTTTGCCTTGGGCTCTGTTACAGTGCCGTATGGCACCAGGGGTTACGAGGCAATGGGATTTGTGACGCGACTCTCTAGACATTTGTTGTTTGGGGCAAAGTAGAAAGTCTTTCTGACAAGTGTGATCACTTGTGACATAAAAGGTAAGTTTTAACGATTGCCTTGCATCTTAGATCTGTTTATAACTTTTTCTAAAATAGGGAGAACCAAGTAATTTCATCCTTACCCTCAGAAGGAAGCAAGAGGGGTAATATATGTCAATGGTATTGGCTTTTAAATGTCCTTTGATTTGAGAGAAGGTGTCTGCATTATTTTCTTTCTCAAGGTATTTTTAGTTCTTTTCATAATCTATTGCCACTGAAATAACAATCCATCCCAAACTGGACCAGGTAACTAACTTTTGAGATAAATTGCCATGGAGTGCAGTCCTTTTTAAGACTTTGGGATTTCCATTCATTAGGAAAATCAAATGCTAAAAAAAAAAACTAAAGACCTGTTGCTGACATAATTTCATTCCCTCTCCCGTATATACCTTTCAAAAATAAATGTCACATCTGGTTAATGATTGTTTGAAATTTCTCAATTAACTTTTAGCTGGAAACAAAAAAAGGCTTAGTTACAAAGAGATTGACACAGGACGCAATGGACCTGACTTTCCGTTTAGAAATCAAATACTGAGTGAAATAATTGACTTTCTAAAAGAAAGACTCCCTGCTTGGTCGCTGTTATTAATGGGATGTTTTTCTCCAATATCAATTTGTTCACTTTGCACAGGCAATTTCCTGCCATTTCGCCAGTGCCGATTGTCACTACATCGATGTGAAGGGCACCAGTCAAGAAAACATTGAGAAGGAAGTTGTAGGAATAGCAAATAAATTCTGGGGAGATGAAAACAGCATGGACTTGAAGGTATGTCCGTATACAACAGCAAGGTAAAAATCTCAGGTTTTCCTTTTCTTCAGATGCTTCATCATTCTCATACCTAATTTATTTGACAGTATATAGTGCTTGGGTTGAGATTCATTTTAGGGACATGGCTGAGCCCCCACCAAAATTGACAATGGAATTTCCATTTACACTTGGGCCCCCGTGCAGGAGACTTGAGAACTTCCTGCTGCTTCTTTATGTCTTTGGGCTGTCCAAAGATGTACAGGCCGTCCTGTTTCACACAGGGCAGTGAAGGAAAACGAAACTACAGATTTAGATGAGAGAAAATGAAAGACAAAACCTTGCCTTCTGGCTGGGCATGGCGGCTCATGCCTGTAATCCCAACACTTCGGGAAGCCAAAGCAGAATCATTTGAGCCCAGGAGTTGGAGACCAGCCTGAGAAACATAGTGAGACTCCATCTCTACTGAAAAAGAAATAAAAATAAAAACTAGTCAAGTGGAGTAGAGCATAGCTGTAGTCCCAGCCGCTCAGAAGGCTGAGTTGAAAGGCTCACTTGAGCTTGAGGTCAAGGCTGTAGTGAGGTGTGACTGCACTACTGCATTCCAGCCTGGGTGACAGAGTGAGACCCTGTCTCAAAAAAAAAAAAAAAAAAAAAAAAAGCCTTCTGAAGGGATAGAAGGAAAGTTATAGGTTTGGGATCCAATCATAGGCCATGTTTATTAGTATAGAATAGAGAGTATTTATTGCTGGGCGTGGTGGCTCACGCCTGTAATCGCAGCACTTCGGGAGTCCAAGGCAGACAGATCATGAAGTCAGGAGATCGAGACCTTCCTGGCCAACATGGTGAAACCCCATCTCTACTAAAAATACAAAAATTAGCTGGGTCTGGTGGCGCGTGCCTGTAATCCCAGCTACTCGGGAGGCTGAGGCAGAAGAATCGCTTGAACCAGGGAATTGGAGGTTGTAGTGAGCTGAGATCGTGCCACTGTGCTCCAACCTGGCGACAGAGCGAGATTCTGTCTCAATAAATACATAAATAATAGAGTATTTGTGCATTAGGGAATCCAGTAAGATGCCCAGATTGCAATTCTTGAGCAAGTTTCTGTTTTGGCAAATGTGCATCTGGAGTTTTATGAGAGGCCTAGTTTGCATGTAGCAGAAGTTTAAGATCACTAATGCTTATCAATAACAGGCATTTGACAATATTTCATATGGTTTCCTAGTTAATACACATCATTTGTAAATTTTTAAAATTTAATTAACTGTTTATTTTTATTTTTATTTATTTTTATTTTTTATTTATTTTGTATTTATTTATTTTTTGAGACGGGGTCTCGCTCTGCCGCCCA